TAACCTAGAGAAAACAGCAGTCCGCCCGCGCTTTAGTCGCACAAGTTGAAAAAAAACTCCGGAGTAACGAAGGCATCTCGAACTCCTTCCGACAAACATTTTCCTCCACCCAATCCGAAACAGTCTGCCTGCAAAGATGATGTTGAACGTCGACTCCCGACGACCACGAATCTACCTCTAAATTTGTGTAGATAAGGACTCAAAGCTTGGCCTCTGCCGGGTGAGCCTGCTGTTGCTGTTGATGGTATGCCTCTTGCACAGAAGGGTGCCGGAGGTGTAGATCTCAGCTGCAAGTCTAGTTAACTCTCTTCTCTGTTGGGAAACTACAGTACTGCCTTCCAGGAAAATACGCTCAGGCTCCATATCACCAAAATATTTAAGGCTATAGGGAGACAAAGCTGCCGCAGGGGTAGTTGGAAACTGCGAGAGACAACAACAACAACGGGGGGGAAAAGACTTAGAAACAGTGGGGACATTCGCCTCAGCACACCCTCACAGCAGTTGATGCAGAAATAAAATCGGAATAAAATTTAGGCACAGCGAAATCACCTTTGCTATTTACCCCTCCGTTGTTATCGCAATAAAGCCACAACATATTCTGCGTATCACGTGTATGTACCCACCGCATATACCGTACACCCTCCAGTTGTGCCAACACGACCGAGGCACGCCTGTTTTGCCTAAATGTGTTGCGGTGGGACTCTTTGTTTGGAAGTATGTAGCCAATAGTGCTGTAGACATCTTCCTCTTAGACACTGCAACACTGCAATCAAGCAGATCTCGGACGAGCTGGAGCTCGAGTGTCCGCTTAGCTACCGCCGCACTCATATCACACGATGCACAGCTCAGCCTTTCTTATTGACTCGTGTAACCCCCCCCCCCTCCCCCCAAGGGTGCGCTGCCGTCTTTTGAGCTGTCATGTATGCTACATCAGTCGAAAGACTCACCATCTCGGCCCGGCGTGCGGAGCCGGTGACCTCGTTGGTGCTCTCACTCACGATCGCGATTCTCTCATCTGCATCCAAGCCGCTCTCTGGGTTCGCCACCGCTGACATGCTGCAGGAGAGAAGGACACACGCCAAAGTGGTAAGCAGAAAGCAGCGTGCGCTTGACCGAAAACGCGGCGTGATTACGTCTTGCTTGAACTTCGGGATGATGTCGACCAATCACAACATTCCAGCTTTTCGGGAAGATCAAAGTGGCGGTTACAAGAAATACAGGCGATCCGCGCGCCGACGACGTTAGCCCGCTTAGTTTTGAGCGAATCCCCGAGCACGCTCTCTCTTCGTAGCGCAACCTCTTCCTCGCGACAACAAAGAAGCTTGCAGCACATCCCTCCACACACCCGCCAGACGACAAGAAAGCAAGCAAGAAGGCCAAACGACTGCTGCAGTACGGAACTCCGCCATCCCATCGCGCTTTCGTGGGATCATACCACAACCTTCGTGTAGAAAGATGTTGTCGAAGCTGTCCGCCCTGCTCTTCTTCGCCGCCCTGGTGGGTACGTCCCTGGCCTACTGCCCGAACTCCTGCAGCGGCCACGGGTCCTGCGGGACCAACGACCAGTGCACATGCTACCTCCGTCCGAACGGGGACGTGGCTTGGATCGGGGCTGATTGCTCGCTCCGCACCTGCCCAAAGTGAGTCCAGGTTGAGCAAGAACCACCCTTCGTTGGTGTGTACCCGTAAAACGACCAGATGGTGGTGTGACTGCGTCTCAGGTTATCTTGGTTTGCCGAATCCTGGGACGACAACACCGCGAGCGTAGCTCTTTCGTGCGGCTTTTCGCCAGTGCCTCCTGTTTGCCGGACCGGTGCACGAAAAAGAGGCGTGGTGTGCGGTCTGTCGGCGGGTCGGTCCACGAGGAGATGTTGTGGCACGGCCGGCATCCCCGTGTTTGGTGAAAGAGTGTGCGCGCTTGTCGACTTTATAGCTGCAACCCCGATTATTGCGAGTAGGAAAAGACGACTCCATTTGTGTACGGCCGGTGCTGCCCGGTGGTCTTCAGGGAACACAGGCTCACTCGACGCAAGAGTGGATGTTTTCCTTGCGAAACCGCAAGATCATTCAACACGTGTCCCTGAAAGTAGCCCGCGAGAGCACACGCTCGGCTTCCGCATAAAAAAAGTTAATGTGAAATAAGACGAAACGTAGGGCTATTCTCCAAAAAACATGGCGTATCCGCAGCTCCTTGCTCACGAAGAGGCTGTGTATCTGTGCGTCCTTCGGAACACGCATGCCTCCTCAGTAACAACCTTTTGCTGTCGTTGTCGTTGTTATTGTTGTTGTTGCTGTTGGTGGTGGTGGTGGTGTTGTTGTCGTTGTCGTTGTCGTTGTTCTGGTCCCTCACATGGACCTCTATCCTTCTTCCATAAGAACTCTTCAGGGTGTGAGTGCAGTCCCAACGGTTGACGCTAGTCTACCGTACCTACCCTTGGTAAATGTTTTCGGTCACATCAGCCGGAGTATCAGGCATACAGGTAGAGAAGGGAAATACCATGGTCAAACCATGTCACGAAAGCATTCAGAGCACTCGTGAAGGAATCGAGGTTGCCTACACATCGTAAGACAACAAGCAGGGAAGTGTAGAAATAGCAAAAAGAAAATGCAAATGGAGAGCACTTTGCTCCAATCACTCGGACGCTGACACTTACATTCACACAAACGAAAACACTAGACCACTCCATACAAAGAAGATAATATACTTGAACGTTCATTTTCAGCTCTTGCCCGGTTCTTTGGTAGACGGGCCAGGATATTTCGCGGGCTACGCTGAAACCCATCACAGGCGAGTTCCAGCCCTTTTCCCCTCGGGGACTCCACTGGAACCAGATAAAGCCGAACAATAGCATCCATGATTCAACCAAGAACTAAACGCCAGGATCTTGCATGGCTACCGGCAGCCAACTCATCGCGCCGAGACTCCATATGGAACAAAATGCCACACCACTTTTCTACGCGTATTATAGCTCTCCTCTCTATCTGTTTGTCTACCTGTCTGTTTGTCTGTCTCTGTCTGTCTCTTTCGCGCGCGCGCGCTCTCTCTCCCTCTCTCTCTCTCTACCTCCCTCAACCCCCCCCCCCCCCCCTACCCAGGGGCGCGGCCTGGGCGAAGGAGGCAGTGGCCGCCAACGACGCTCACCCGGAGGTGGAGTGCTCGGCGAAGGGCACCTGCGACCGAGCCACGGGCATCTGCACGTGCTTCGAGAACTACGAGGGCGTGGCCTGCGAGAGGACCATCTGCCCCAACGACTGCTCCGGGAACGGGTTCTGCTTCACCGAGAAGCAGCTGGCCGCTGATGCCGGGGGAACGTGAGTAGACCATTCCTACGTGCACCGTCAATATGTTTTTGCCAATATTCTCCCTTCAATGTGCCCCGTACTGATGAGGGAAAAGGGAGAACGCCTGGGTGCTCTCGCCGTACGACTTATCCCTGGCTCGAACACCAGCGCAAATGTCGACAATTGGTCGAATCCCATTATAGCTACCCCCCCCAAACTTGTGGCACAACCCCAAAAGAGCTACAGCTTCGCGAAGCCCCCGCCCCGACTCTGCGCCTTATAGTTACACAATCAATCATCGAGAATTGGCACATCCTTCGTCCACCGTGCAACCGGCACCAGCATCATCAGTCGCCAGTTTACCCTCCCCACCCCACCGCGTGGCGCTTCACGCTTGATGATGTGCTAGCCTGGTCCGGTGAAAACCCGGCGTGCTCCGTCCATGCTTGGTAGGGATGCGGGGTCAATGGCCTAGCGCATGCACGGCTATAAGTGCACCCACCCGCACCGGTCAGACCCTACACTAAAAACGCCTCTCCTCTCTACCAACAACAGGTACAACACGCCCTGGGACGCCGAGAAGCAGGTCGGGTGCAAGTGCGACGCTGGGTTCCGCGGCCCCGACTGCTCCCTTCAGGAGTGCCCCTCCGGCGCCGACGTCATGGGCGGGGACGGCTCGATCGAGGGCCGAGACTGCTCCGGTCGTGGTGAGTGTTGGTTCGTCGAGGAGGTTGCTTGGTTTCGGAATATCTCCTGTCTACACATTCAACAGCACCTGTTCTACAATAACTAGGTGTCTACATATATCAGTGTCCAAAGTTGTTGTTGTTGTTGTTGTTGGTGGTGGTGGTGTATTTACACTTGTAAAAACGTTCCGCTCTCCGCTTAGGGCCTTCCAATACCCGTTCTGGCCCAACTGACGGGGACGCCCTCGCGGTCATAAGCCAACTACCCAAAGAGAGGTACACCTTTCTTCAGTAGAACGAAAAAAAAAAAGAGGGCCCAGAAAAAACAAAGTGTGCGCATCTGCGTTCTTGCACTCTAGCTTCTCTGGATTGGGTACTCGTAAGGTATAAGGTCCCATGGCGCAGGGGTTCCACACAGGGACAACATGTATGCAGGGTGGAAAGGGCCAAGGCATCCCGCAGTGTCTGCGGTAGCACACGCCTTCGGCACTCTCGGTGGACAATTCGGCAATTCCCTACCCGGAATAGGCTAATTTGTCCCACACCTCTCCCGCTCCTCGTCACCCCGGTTCAAGCGGCAAACCCTAACCAACACCCACGCATTATTGATCCGGTCGCCCCGGTGGTCTAGTTGGTATCCTCGACACCTTCTAGAGGTCAGGTCAGGGGTTCGAATCCGGGCGTAAGCGAGCTTTTCTTGCAGAGCGAGTTTTTCTCTCGCTTCCGCTCCTGGTCTAGTGGATAGCGCTAGTTCGTGTGTACACGGAGGGAAGAGAGTGCTGGACTCTTCTCGCATTAAAAATCGAAGGCAAAGTACCGCAGGAGGGGAGGGTAGAGAGGGGCTCTTCTGTGTGACCACGGGTTGGAGTAAACGGCACTAGTGCTGTGAGCGCTGATTTGAAGTGAAGACAAAAAAAAAAAAAAGATGTCCTTGCCCGTCTACCCCTCTTCACGTACACGACACCTGCGTGACGATTCTCTCAGGCATCTGCGACTACACCACCGGGCTGTGCGGGTGCTTCCTCGGCTTCTACGGCACCATGTGCGAGTACCAGACCATCTTATCATAAGAAAAGGGAGGACGGGGCGCAAGTCCATTGCCCACAACATTCCTTAGGGTCGTGGAGACGAGGTGATTGCGCCGCCGGTGGCGGCAACGCTGCGTGGCACGCAGACGGGATCGTCATCCCCCCCCCCGTATCTCACTATCTTAGAGTGAAAACATGGCGGGCGGTGTTAGCCGGGAGCAGTAGCAGTGGCAACAGCAGTAGAGCGTTTTTTTTTTTTCTGTCACCACTAACACCCTTCCTTGCCGGAATCTCAGGCAACCAACGAAACGATCAGAAAGGAAAATTATGCTGCTGCTGAATGGATCGTCTACATTTTTTTTAGTCTCGACGTCTGTTTCTTTCTTTCTTTTGCGGGTTTTGGTCGGTGCGTTCAAGTCGGGAAAGGCACCACCCGGGTTGTGTTGCACTCGAAAAACTTGTGAGAAAAAATAGTTACTACGATAGGAATCTTGTTTTTCGAGCCTTTTCTGTAACATTCTCCCTTGAGCAAGACAGGGATGCTGTTTGTTGTGCAAGGGCTGCACACCAACAACTCTTTCGACACCGAGTTTAGGCGGATGGGCGGGGGGGGGAGGGGCACAGAACGGGGGTCGGAATTGAGCGGACAATTCAGTCAAATTTTTCGTTGTGCTTGCTGATTCGTCGGAACTAGCGTCATAGCCTATTCGGTGGTGGGTCAACAAGTATTGTTTGCACAACCAACGGTGCTTGACTGTGCAGAAAACCAACTGCGGTTGACGTCTTCATTGTGTCAATCATGTAGTTTCCTTTTTACGTCACCCAGATCTTGCGCGTGAATGGCGGGGGGGGAGGGCGAGCGGGCGCGGACTGTCCATGCTTAGTTGTGGCGGCGAGACCTGGGAAGACGAAAAAAAAATAGCTACAGTACACCACCATCCATCCATCCTTGGCTGAATAGAGTCTGGTGAAAACAAACCTGGGGGAAAGAGGTTGATGTAGGAGGGAAGGGTGAACACTCATCACAACTGCCAGTCATGAAAAAGACGTGGGTGGGAAGACATCACCTTTTGGTCCCGTACTGCTCGTCTGCGCTGAGACTGCTCTGTTGCCCCGTGTACCTGCCCCCGCCTCGGCTAGACGGTGCTTGATTTCGAACCACTCTCTTTCTTGTGTTTTTCAGAGACGATGGCAAGCAGTCGGGATGCGTAGGTGTCGCAAAGTTTGGTCTTTCTTTTTTTCGAATGTCAGCCTGTTTTCATCTGGAAGTAGGAAGATGTCGAAGCGAAATGAGGGCAGAAGCGGCCGATATTGGACATTCGGAGGAGGGGGGGGGGGGGGGGGGGGGGCCCCCCTCATTGGCTCAAATTTTGGTAAAATTGAATGGCCGGGCAAAGGGTTTTTTTTTCCCAACCCCCTTTTTTTTTTGAACCACAAAAAGGAAGACCTTTTTTTTTTTCCCG